GTACCCATTTATGCCCCTTGCTCGGCACGTGCCGGGGAGGGGCAAGCGGGAAAAACAAAGGACGATTTTAGCGCGTCCGACTTTTTTATTTCCGTTTTTTTTGCCCGAACAACGAGTCAGCGGGGTGGGGGGCCCCCGGGGAGGCTTGCCCGCGCGAAGAAACGCCCCGTGCGCACCACCGTTGGGCGGTTGGAAGCCGCACACGGTCGCGGGGGTGGAGAGCGGAAACGGGCAGCCGGGGGAGGGTGGGGGCGGTTGGACGGGAGTGGGGTGTACGGGGGGCAGGGGAGTTGAGGGGGCAAGGGGAGGGGCAGCAACGGGCAGGGGCTGGGCCAGCTGAGGGCAAGGAAAAGGGGCGGGCAGAGGGTGAGCAGAGGGGCGAGCGATGCAAGGGATGCACCAGAGGGGGGGAATCCAGTTGAACGGAGGTGAGAGGTGAGGGGCGTGCGAGGGGGTGGAACAGGGGCAGGGAGGGGCAGAACGGGAGGATGTGGGTGGGGGGTGGGGGAGGGGAGTGTGTGTGTGTGTGTGTGTGCGAGAGAAAGAGAGAGAGAGAGAGAGAGAGAGGGAGAGGGGGGGGGGGAGAAGGGTGGGAGGGGGGCTGGTGGTGGGGACGGGCTGATGGTGGTAAGAGGGCAGCAGGGATGGGGAGAAGGGAGCGTAACGAGGGGAAAGCAAAGGGCAGGGGGGGAGGAAGGGAGGGGCAGGGAGGGAAGAGGGTGAACGTACAAAGAGGGGAAACGAGGGGCATGGATGGTAGGAAACAAGGGCAGGGGTGCGGGAAATCAAGGGCAGGGAGGGGAGAAGCAATGGGTGCGGGGAGAACAAGGGAGGGGCAGAGGGGGTACAAGGTGATCTCAGGGAGGGAAGAAACGTGGGGCAGGGAGGGGAGAAACCAAAGACAGGGGCATGGGCAGGCGGGGGCAGGGAGGGAGCAAAGGAGAGGCACGGAGAAAGAAAGGGAGGTGCAGGGAGGGGAGAAACCGGGCGTGGGGGGGCGGAAAATGAGGGGCAGGGCGGGGAGGAGGGAGAGGCAGGGAGGGGAGAAGCTGAGCACACGGAGGGGGGAAAGGTGGGGCAGGGAGGTGGGAAGCCAAGGGCAAGTGGAGGAGAGTGGGGGGGCAGGGAGAGGGGGGAGGTGGGGAGCGGAGAAAGGCGGCGAGGGGCAGGGAGGGGAGAAACCAAGCGTAGGGGGGCGAGAAACGAGGGGCAGGGTGCGGATTGAGGAGGGGCAGGGAGTGGAGTGGGTTAGCGAGGGGAAGGAAGAGGCGTGCAGCAGAGGAGGGGAGGGGGGAGGCGAAGGTAAACGAGGGGAGGGCACGGGCGGGGAGGAGCGAATGGCGAGCGGTGGGTAACGGCGAGGGGGGCAGGGAGGGTCAAAAGAGGCGGCGAGGGAGCGGGCACGCGGAGGGTAGGGGCGGGGGGAGCGGATGGCATGAGGGGGCAGGGGGTGTGACTATGAAGGGGGGACCCGGGCAAGGGGTGTGTACCGGTCGGGGCACGGGATTGTCGTGGTACGATCATACCTCGGCTACTACGCCGGATCCCATCAGAACTCCGAAGCTAAGCGCCGGTGGGCGAGAGCAGTACTGGGCTGGGTGACCTCCCGGGAAGTCCTCGTGTTGTACCCATTTATGCCCCTTGCTCGGCACGTGCCGGGGAGGGGCAAGCGGGAAAAACAAAGGACGATTTTAGCGCGTCCGACTTTTTTATTTCCGTTTTTTTGCCCGAACAACGAGTCAGCGGGGTGGGGGGCCCCCGGGGAGGCTTGCCCGCGCGAAGAAACGCCCCGTGCGCACCACCGTTGGGCGGTTGGAAGCCGCACACGGTCGCGGGGGTGGAGAGCGGAAACGGGCAGCCGGGGGAGGGTGGGGGCGGTTGGACGGGAGTGGGGTGTACGGGGGGCAGGGGAGTTGAGGGGGCAAGGGGAGGGGCAGCAACGGGCAGGGGCTGGGCCAGCTGAGGGCAAGGAAAAGGGGCGGGCAGAGGGTGAGCAGAGGGGCGAGCGATGCAAGGGATGCACCAGAGGGGGGGAATCCAGTTGAACGGAGGTGAGAGGTGAGGGGCGTGCGAGGGGGTGGAACAGGGGCAGGGAGGGGCAGAACGGGAGGATGTGGGTGGGGGGTGGGGGAGGGGAGTGTGTGTGTGTGTGTGTGTGCGAGAGAAAGAGAGAGAGAGAGAGAGAGAGAGGGAGAGGGGGGGGGGGAGAAGGGTGGGAGGGGGGCTGGTGGTGGGGACGGGCTGATGGTGGTAAGAGGGCAGCAGGGATGGGGAGAAGGGAGCGTAACGAGGGGAAAGCAAAGGGCAGGGGGGGAGGAAGGGAGGGGCAGGGAGGGAAGAGGGTGAACGTACAAAGAGGGGAAACGAGGGGCATGGATGGTAGGAAACAAGGGCAGGGGTGCGGGAAATCAAGGGCAGGGAGGGGAGAAGCAATGGGTGCGGGGAGAACAAGGGAGGGGCAGAGGGGGTACAAGGTGATCTCAGGGAGGGAAGAAACGTGGGGCAGGGAGGGGAGAAACCAAAGACAGGGGCATGGGCAGGCGGGGGCAGGGAGGGAGCAAAGGAGAGGCACGGAGAAAGAAAGGGAGGTGCAGGGAGGGGAGAAACCGGGCGTGGGGGGGCGGAAAATGAGGGGCAGGGCGGGGAGGAGGGAGAGGCAGGGAGGGGAGAAGCTGAGCACACGGAGGGGGGAAAGGTGGGGCAGGGAGGTGGGAAGCCAAGGGCAAGTGGAGGAGAGTGGGGGGGCAGGGAGAGGGGGGAGGTGGGGAGCGGAGAAAGGCGGCGAGGGGCAGGGAGGGGAGAAACCAAGCGTAGGGGGGCGAGAAACGAGGGGCAGGGTGCGGATTGAGGAGGGGCAGGGAGTGGAGTGGGTTAGCGAGGGGAAGGAAGAGGCGTGCAGCAGAGGAGGGGAGGGGGGAGGCGAAGGTAAACGAGGGGAGGGCACGGGCGGGGAGGAGCGAATGGCGAGCGGTGGGTAACGGCGAGGGGGGCAGGGAGGGTCAAAAGAGGCGGCGAGGGAGCGGGCACGCGGAGGGTAGGGGCGGGGGGAGCGGATGGCATGAGGGGGCAGGGGGTGTGACTATGAAGGGGGGACCCGGGCAAGGGGTGTGTACCGGTCGGGGCACGGGATTGTCGTGGTACGATCATACCTCGGCTACTACGCCGGATCCCATCAGAACTCCGAAGCTAAGCGCCGGTGGGCGAGAGCAGTACTGGGCTGGGTGACCTCCCGGGAAGTCCTCGTGTTGTACCCATTTATGCCCCTTGCTCGGCACGTGCCGGGGAGGGGCAAGCGGGAAAAACAAAGGACGATTTTAGCGCGTCCGACTTTTTTATTTCCGTTTTTTTTGCTCCGAACAACGAGTCAGCGGGGTGGGGGGCCCCCGGGGAGGCTTGCCCGCGCGAAGAAACGCCCCGTGCGCACCACCGTTGGGCGGTTGGAAGCCGCACACGGTCGCGGGGGTGGAGAGCGGAAACGGGCAGCCGGGGGAGGGTGGGGGCGGTTGGACGGGAGTGGGGTGTACGGGGGGCAGGGGAGTTGAGGGGGCAAGGGGAGGGGCAGCAACGGGCAGGGGCTGGGCCAGCTGAGGGCAAGGAAAAGGGGCGGGCAGAGGGTGAGCAGAGGGGCGAGCGATGCAAGGGATGCACCAGAGGGGGGGAATCCAGTTGAACGGAGGTGAGAGGTGAGGGGCGTGCGAGGGGGTGGAACAGGGGCAGGGAGGGGCAGAACGGGAGGATGTGGGTGGGGGGTGGGGGAGGGGAGTGTGTGTGTGTGTGTGTGTGCGAGAGAAAGAGAGAGAGAGAGAGAGAGAGAGAGAGAGAGAGAGAGAGGGGGGGGGGGGGGAGAAGGGTGGGAGGGGGGCTGGTGGTGGGGACGGGCTGATGGTGGTAAGAGGGCAGCAGGGATGGGGAGAAGGGAGCGTAACGAGGGGAAAGCAAAGGGCAGGGGGGGAGGAAGGGAGGGGCAGGGAGGGAAGAGGGTGAACGTACAAAGAGGGGAAACGAGGGGCATGGATGGTAGGAAACAAGGGCAGGGGTGCGGGAAATCAAGGGCAGGGAGGGGAGAAGCAATGGGTGCGGGGAGAACAAGGGAGGGGCAGAGGGGGTACAAGGTGATCTCAGGGAGGGAAGAAACGTGGGGCAGGGAGGGGAGAAACCAAAGACAGGGGCATGGGCAGGCGGGGGCAGGGAGGGAGCAAAGGAGAGGCACGGAGAAAGAAAGGGAGGTGCAGGGAGGGGAGAAACCGGGCGTGGGGGGGCGGAAAATGAGGGGCAGGGCGGGGAGGAGGGAGAGGCAGGGAGGGGAGAAGCTGAGCACACGGAGGGGGGAAAGGTGGGGCAGGGAGGTGGGAAGCCAAGGGCAAGTGGAGGAGAGTGGGGGGGCAGGGAGAGGGGGGAGGTGGGGAGCGGAGAAAGGCGGCGAGGGGCAGGGAGGGAGAAACCAAGCGTAGGGGGGCGAGAAACGAGGGGCAGGGTGCGGATTGAGGAGGGGCAGGGAGTGGAGTGGGTTAGCGAGGGGAAGGAAGAGGCGTGCAGCAGAGGAGGGGAGGGGGGAGGCGAAGGTAACGAGGGGAGGGCACGGGCGGGGAGGAGCGAATGGCGAGCGGTGGGTAACGGCGAGGGGGGCAGGGAGGGTCAAAAGAGGCGGCGAGGGAGCGGGCACGCGGAGGGTAGGGGCGGGGGGAGCGGATGGCATGAGGGGGCAGGGGGTGTGACTATGAAGGGGGGACCCGGGCAAGGGGTGTGTACCGGTCGGGGCACGGGATTGTCGTGGTACGATCATACCTCGGCTACTACGCCGGATCCCATCAGAACTCCGAAGCTAAGCGCCGGTGGGCGAGAGCAGTACTGGGCTGGGTGACCTCCCGGGAAGTCCTCGTGTTGTACCCATTTATGCCCCTTGCTCGGCACGTGCCGGGGAGGGGCAAGCGGGAAAAACAAAGGACGATTTTAGCGCGTCCGACTTTTTTATTTCCGTTTTTTTTGCCCCGAACAACGAGTCAGCGGGGTGGGGGGCCCCCGGGGAGGCTTGCCCGCGCGAAGAAACGCCCCGTGCGCACCACCGTTGGGCGGTTGGAAGCCGCACACGGTCGCGGGGGTGGAGAGCGGAAACGGGCAGCCGGGGGAGGGTGGGGGCGGTTGGACGGGAGTGGGGTGTACGGGGGGCAGGGGAGTTGAGGGGGCAAGGGGAGGGGCAGCAACGGGCAGGGGCTGGGCCAGCTGAGGGCAAGGAAAAGGGGCGGGCAGAGGGTGAGCAGAGGGGCGAGCGATGCAAGGGATGCACCAGAGGGGGGGAATCCAGTTGAACGGAGGTGAGAGGTGAGGGGCGTGCGAGGGGGTGGAACAGGGCAGGGAGGGGCAGAACGGGAGGATGTGGGTGGGGGGTGGGGGAGGGGAGTGTGTGTGTGTGTGTGTGTGCGAGAGAAAGAGAGAGAGAGAGAGAGAGAGAGGAGAGAGGGGGGGGGGGGAGAAGGGTGGGAGGGGGGCTGGTGGTGGGGACGGGCTGATGGTGGTAAGAGGGCAGCAGGGATGGGGAGAAGGGAGCGTAACGAGGGGAAAGCAAAGGGCAGGGGGGGAGGAAGGGAGGGGCAGGGAGGGAAGAGGGTGAACGTACAAAGAGGGGAAACGAGGGGCATGGATGGTAGGAAACAAGGGCAGGGGTGCGGGAAATCAAGGGCAGGGAGGGGAGAAGCAATGGGTGCGGGGAGAAACAAGGGAGGGGCAGAGGGGTACAAGGTGATCTCAGGGAGGGAAGAAACGTGGGGCAGGGAGGGGAGAAACCAAAGACAGGGGCATGGGCAGGCGGGGGCAGGGAGGGAGCAAAGGAGAGGCACGGAGAAAGAAAGGGAGGTGCAGGGAGGGGAGAAACCGGGCGTGGGGGGGCGGAAAATGAGGGGCAGGGCGGGGAGGAGGGAGAGGCAGGGAGGGGAGAAGCTGAGCACACGGAGGGGGAAAGGTGGGGCAGGGAGGTGGGAAGCCAAGGGCAAGTGGAGGAGAGTGGGGGGGCAGGGAGAGGGGGGAGGTGGGGAGCGGAGAAAGGCGGCGAGGGGCAGGGAGGGGAGAAACCAAGCGATAGGGGGGCGAGAAACGAGGGGCAGGGTGCGGATTGAGGAGGGGCAGGGAGTGGAGTGGGTTAGCGAGGGGAAGGAAGAGGCGTGCAGCAGAGGAGGGGAGGGGGGAGGCGAAGGTAAACGAGGGGAGGGCACGGGAGGGGAGGAGCGAATGGCGAGCGGTGGGTAACGGCGAGGGGGGCAGGGAGGGTCAAAAGAGGCGGCGAGGGAGCGGGCACGCGGAGGGTAGGGGCGGGGGGAGCGGATGGCATGAGGGGGCAGGGGGTGTGACTATGAAGGGGGGACCCGGGCAAGGGGTGGTGTACCGGTCGGGGCCACGGGATTGTCGTGGACGATCATACTCGGCTACTACGCCGGATCCCATCAGAACTCGAAGCTAAGCGCGGTGGGCGAGAGCAGTACTGGGCTGGGTGACCTCCGGGAAGTCCTCGTGTTGTACCCATTTTATGCCCCTTGCTCGGCACGTGCCGGGGAGGGCAAGCGGGAAAAACAAAGGACGATTTTAGCGCAGTTCGATCTTTTTTATTTTCCGTTTTTTTTTGCTCCGAACAACGATGTCAGCGGGGTGGGGGGCCCCCGGGGAGGCTTGCCCGCGCGAAGAACGCCCCGTGCGCCACCACCGTGGGCGGTTGGAAGCCGCACACGGTCGCGGGGGTGGAGAGCGGAAACGGGCAGCCGGGGGAGGGTTGGGGCGGTTGGACGGGAGTGGGGTGTACGGGGGGCAGGGGGCAGGGGAGTTGAGGGGGCAGGGGAGGGGCAGCAACGGGCAGGGGCTGGGCCAGCTGAGGGCAAGGAAAAGGGGCGGGCAGAGGGTGAGCAGAGGGGCGAGCGATGCAAGGGATGCACCAGAGGGTGGGAATCCAGTTGAACGGAGGTGAGAGGTGAGGGGCGTGCGAGGGGTGGAACAGGGGCAGGGAGGGGCAGAACGGGAGGATGTGGGTGGGGGTGGGGGAGGGGAGTGTGTGTGTGTGTGTGTGTGCGAGAGAAAGAGAGAGGGAGAGAGAGAGTGAGAGAGATAGAGAGAGAGAGAGGAGAGAGGGAGGGGGGGGGGGGAGAAGGGTGGGAGGGGGGTGGTGGGGGGGACGGGCTGATGGTGGTAAGAGGGCAGCAGGGATGGGAGAAAGGGAGCGTAACGAGGGGAAAGCAAAGGGCAGGGGGGGAGAAACCAAGCATAGGGGGGCGAGA